GAAAGTTTCAGATTTTGATTTTCAAACTTGTTGAGTTTCTGCAAATAAAATTTTCTACATAAAGCAGTTCCCAAAATGAAAAAAATGTTTTGGTTGCCTGTCAATTCTGATTACCATGAGAAACAACCGTTACAAAATTTCACAGTAATTGGGGTGCTTTTGATCCACTCTAAATTCAGATTCTTTATCACAATAACCTTGTAGTGGGGTTGTTTGAGCTTGCACAGAGGACTGCATCCCTTTTATGGCATCTGGAGGTTTCCTAGCTTTTCTGCATTAGTGGAGGGTGATACTGGCGGTTAAGCAGAGGATATGCTATGGAATCCATGACTGCAGATATGACCAGATCCTGTTATCACTGAAGTCAATGGAAAGATTCCTACTGAGATCTGGAACAGCCCCTTTCCATTGACTTCAGTAGTCATTGGATTAGGTCCTAAAAGTGGTCTCCCCTCCAGTTTCCTACATTTCCCCAACAGAAAATGTCAGGTGAAGCCTAATGTGTCTCATGGTGCCCTAGAAATGCAGGTTTTTTAAAAAAGAAAAAGAATAGAAAATTGCAAGCATATTGCAGCTTGTAATAATGTTATAATGTATGCACCAAGATGATAAAATTTATGGACTGTTAGGTATTTTGAAACACTAAATTCAATTAGCCAATCATTTTGTTATTTGAATGACTCCCTAGAACAAATTTCCTGACTTTTACTTTTGTTTACATACTTTAATTGAAAATATTATGCAGTTTCCATTATCTGATTTGGTCCTTGATTATCTGAATAAATCAGATAAAACTTGCTCACTATCAGTTAGGATCATCCAGTTTCTGCTATTTTAAGTGGTCTGCAATTAATGTGTATATGTAATTAAATTGCATTGCAGATACATTTTCTCTTTAGATATACACCACATGACAACATTCCTCCAGGTCCATTTGTAGGAGAATCTACTACCAGTCTAGTCATGATCAGATATTTTTAATGTGTTTCTGAATGCCTTGTTAGTGACAAATGGTATCAATTCCTCTCTACAGCATATTAGAGTTTAAATTAAAATCCTAGATAACCACAACTGGATCTCACAGGTCACAATTTATTTGTCTGCATAATCCTTTTTTATTTTAACTAATAACACTAAAATGTTTTCTATCAACCATATTTGTTTATGTTCTCTTTATTCACAAAAAAACCATGAATGTTAAGAAGTATGAAGCGCTGAAATGGGTTGTTCCCATAAAAGCTCATGATACCATCTACATATTCTTTCATCTTTAAGGCGCTGCTAAACTATTTGTTGTTTTTAAGTTTTTCCAGTTACAGACTAACTCGGCTACCCCTCTGAAGCTTTTGTAATTGCAAGTATATGCCTTCCATGAAAACACAGTGTGTATCTGGAAAGAATTATCCTATAAGTGAAAGAATTTTATTAGTACAGATATATAACAAAAGAAATCCAAAAACTGGTACGAGCCCATTATTAGGTAGAGATGGTAAAATTGTTAGTAATGATGCAGAAAAGGCAGATGTGTTCAATAAATATTTCAGTTCTGTATTTGGAAAGAAACAGGGTGATGTACTCATGTTACTTGAGCATGACTAAGCCCATTAATAATTAAGGTGGCAGTACAATAGCATCTACCAGAGATAAACATACTTTAAAATAAGCAAATCTGGATAACTTGCACCCAGAAGAGTTGCTAGAGGAGACCTCTGGCCTGCTGATGTTAATTTTTAATAAATCTTGGAATACTGTGGAAATTTTCATTCCACTATTCAAAAAGAAAAGTGAGATGACCCAGGTTAGGCTGACATCAATCCCAGGCAGACCAATGGGAAAATTTGTAGAGGATTTAATTAAAAAAGAATGAAAGGACATGGATATAACTAATGGTAGTCAAGATGATGTTATAAAAATAGATTTTGTCAAACAACCTGCTTTCATGTTTCTATGAGATGACAAGCTTGATTGATAAACGTAACTGCACAGATAGCATATACCTAAGATATTGAAAGGAATTTGACTTCATACTGTTCAACAAATTCATTAAAAATTCTCCTCATATAGAATTCTCATACCTCCAAACATTTTCATTGCTATTTTCTGCATGTTTTCCAATTCTAATGTATCTTTTTTGAGATAAGGTGACCAGAACTGCCTATAATGTTCAAGGTGTGGGTGTACCATGGATATAGACAGTGGCATTATGATTTTTTTGTTTTATTATTTGTTGCTTTCCAAATGATTCTTAACATTCTGTTTGCTTTTTTGAATGCTGCTGTACATTAAGTGCAGGTTGTCAGAGAAATATGCACAATGACTCCAATATCTCTTTCTTGAGTATTAACAACTGATTTAGACCCCATCACTTTGTATGATTGTTGTGATTACTATTAAGTACTTTGCACTTATCACCATTAAATTCCATCTCCTATTTTGTCACCTAATCATCCAGTTTTGTGAGATCCCTTTGTAACTTTTCACAGTTGTAACTAGTGGCCTTTTTTCGAAAAAAACTTCACCAGCGTCTAGATTGCCATCGAGTTCTTTCGAAATTAAACCAAAAGAACGTGGTGGTTTTTTTGACAGCGGTAAACCTCATTTTATGAGGAAGAACACCTTTATTCGAAAGAGCTCTTTCAAAAAAAGGCGTTCTTGAACGCAAACAGGGCTTTTCGAAAGAGAGCATCCAGATTGCCTGGGTGCTCTCTTTCAAAAAAGTAGATTGCTTTTTTGAAAGTCTTGTGACTGTCTAGACAATCTCTTTCAAAAGAGGCTTTTTTGAAAGAGCTCTTTCGAAAAAGCCTCTTTCGAAAGAGGTTTATAGTCTAGACGTACCCTAGATATCTGTCTGGAAAATATGTACTAGTCTAACAAGTTAGGGCATGTCTACACTAAGAAATTATTTTGAAATAACTTATTTTGAAATAATAACTCATGAAATAACTATTTTGAAATAAGCTTATTCCCCAAGGAAAGCGGGAGTTACTATTTCAAAATAACCAGCCCCTTATTTTGAAATAACAGGGTTGGTAGTGTGGACGTTTCGCTTGTCATTTTGAAATAAGGGGAGTTATTTTGAAATCACTCCCTACTGTAGACCAGGGCTTATTGAGCTCAATAGTGGGGTAACTCATAACATTTAGTGGGTTTAATATACAGGTGGTCAGAATAGATGACCACATGATCTCATCTGGCTTAAAATCTTTGAAGGTATCCTGGGATGAGGCATACCTGGGTGGCTGACAAATGCCTTTGATGTTGACACCCGCGCGTCCAGACTACCGCGCTGAGCCAACAAACAGCTGATCGGCTCAGCGCGGCAGCCATGTAAATTTAAATGAAGTGGCGATTATTTAAATCGCCGCTTAATTTTCCTATGCCTGGTAGCCTAATCTACATGCCTCTGGCAACAGAGGCATGTAGTCTAGAGGTACCCTTCCTTTCCAAGTGCAAACTAATGGTTCTTATCAGCCTCTTTTAACTATCTAGTCTTTAAGGTGCCAATAGACTATCTGT